AGGCGATGGTGAAAATTTTAGGTTTTTTTTCTTCTTCTGCGGGTTTGTCTCAGTGGTGCTGTCGTACGGAGGGATGACACACTATTGGTGCTCCGGCTCCAGTTCGGACCAACAAAGATTGGCCAACCTCGGTCTCGTCAGGGTTTGCGTGTGAGAGTTATGGTCCTCGACTCCATCCTGGTCACACGTGAGGAGTTACACATGCCCTCTTTAGTGGTTTCTTCTCCAAACAGGTGTTTTGCTATGCATATCGCCGGCATTAGTATCTTGTGGTCTACGTCGACAAATTTGTGAGCGTTTCTTCTACAAGCTTTTGAGTTTCAACAAGTTTGCTCAACTAAGGCGGAGGCTCGGAGGTGGCAAAGTGTTTTTCTCATGACGCGCAGTCGATGGATGCATGAAGAACAAGTTGTCAACGCTCCAAGAATTTAAATGTATCTTTATTTTTTGTAGGAGTATTTTTGTAAGGATATGTGCTATTCAATATATAGTTTCAAAAACATCTTCGAAATTAACTAATGTCGACCCCACAAGAAAACTAATGTCGTTGATTTCAGGCATCTACAGTCCATTTCAAGCATCTACATAGCAATATGCGAGTTGCTATGTAGATCGCGGTCGTCGGCATTTTGTAGTCTACATCAATAACTTGCTGAAGTTGCTTCTACAAGATTTTGGGTTTCAACAAATTTGCTCTTAGCTAAGACGGGGAGCCAGAGATGAAAATGTGCTTTGCTCACAGTGTCTCGTCGGTAATTACAGGAAGAATAAGATTTTGGCACTCCCACGAATTTAAATGTAATTTTCAATTTGTAAGTGTCTTTTTGCACGAGTTTGTGCTATTTAATACTCATACAGATTTTAGCTTTAAAAACATCTTAATAATCAACAAATGTTACCCCTCGTGAAAAAAAAACTAATGCTATCAATTTTAGGCATCTGCGGACATACGACAAGGAGTGTTTCATCTCGTCTCCTTCCATCCCATGTGCGGCGGCTAGGGCACTCCTCCCCTACAACTTTGTCGATGAGCCCATGGATCAGCTGCCTCCCCTCTACTCGGGGTTCCGGTGCGTAGGCTCCGACTAGCAGTTTAGGATAAGTTTCTTGTATGGGTGACGTGGCAGATGGCGGTGCTTCATCTTCGAGTTGTTCTTCCAGATTCCTATCCGCCTCGTGTTCGTTTGTCAGGACGGGGTCAATGGAGCTTCGACTCAGATTCGTGTAGTCTCCTTGTGACGAAGAGGTTAAGGTTTCTCATTGTCCATGTGAGACGACGAGTTTTGAGCTCTTGGAAAGAAAAACTTGTTTTACTCATGAATGATGTAGGCAAAATACAGTGAGTCATTTCTTGGCATATTTTGGTAGATCACATAGTCGTATTGTCGTATGACTAGGCAGTCGGCGGCGCTGGGGTCTCCCAAGATTTAGGCCCAATTTTTTTTCCAATATACATATGTTAGTATTGGCCCAGTCCAAACAGAGGACAAAGCGAGCCACACAGCGAACCAGACAGACGATCGAGCGGGTGAGGAGCCAAGCAGGCGAGCGCCCCTCGTCCTCTCCCAACCCCAGCAGTTCCCACTTCCTAGTCTCCCTCCCCCAATTCCCAATACCAAACCTAGCGGCGGTGGGCGGTGGCAATTCCAGGTCCGACCGGCCCTCTCCTTCCCTCCCCTCGGGCCTCGGCCTCCGGCTCTACTCCTCCCCTCCACGTCCGCCGGTCAGTTGGTCAGGGCGTCCTGCCGGCGGCCGGTCCCGGTCCTGCGTCTGCCGACCGCCGTCCGGCCGTCTCCTCCGCAAGGTGCTGCGCCTCCGAGATCCGGCCTCCGGCCTCCAGTGGCCCCTGCTGAATCGACTCCCTCCACGGCTGACCGTCTCCTCCAGCTGACCAGCTCCAAGGTATTTTTTGCCGTGTATTTTGTAAGAAATCTGAAGATTTGTGTGTAAACTGAAGTTAAACTAAACCTGAAGGATGTTTGGTTCATATACTGCATTTAGAGCAAAAAAATTTTTGGAATGAATACCCAACCTTCATTTCCTGCCGCCGCCGCTGTGACTAGGTGCAGGACTCCTCGGCGCTGTACAACTTGCGCCTATGATTGTAACAACCTTTGATGAGTAACATAAGTTTATTCCCGCGAAAAAAAGAAAAAAAATCAAATACATCAAATACATATACTAAAGGACTAGACAAAAAATTATTACATCACTTTGTAAGTACTCCTTTGTATAACAAAGCAAATAATTAGCGACAATCCTAAGTCGGGGGAAGATTGTTTTTCTATAGCTAACTTGATTATGGATTAATGATTTTTTTTGGAAAATTGCAACATGAGAAAAGAAATGCATGTTGCACTTTGAAATAACTTGAAGCTTCATTTTTCAGAATCAACCTCCACACATAGAAATCTCAATATATTTAGATATAGAGATACCCATTTGAAAAATAATTTGATCGAGCTATAATATTTTAGTGTGTGTAACTTCATAGTTGGTTCATTTTGCCCCGTAAAGATAATGTTAAGTTATGATCCAAATTCATATATAAGTATACATGCTAACTTCTAACGAGTGGAGAGGCCAGTCGTTGGGAGGCTTGGGCCCCCCTACCAGGGACGCCTGAGGGGGTGGAGGGGGAACTCCCGCGGTTTGGATCAGTATTGACCTAGGTCATCTATACTAAAGATATCGTCTTTTGTAAACGTCGCACGCGATAAGTTGATTAGTTGCAAATCTGTGGTGTCGGTAACCTCTTTTGATATAGTAAAGTTTTGCTAGCTGACGCCGTGGTTTTTTCTTTTAGCATTGGAGGGATTTTCCACATTAAAATCATGTGTCCCTTATTATTGATTGGTTCTTCTTTGATTTATTGCCAGTTGTATATCTAACACATAATGTAGCAAGGATGATGTAGCAACTCAGTTTGTTTGATAGACCAATAGATCAATGACTCGGACGAGACACCACAATCACACACGAAGAACATTTTCGCCGTGCAAGATTGGAGGTGAAGCACCCGTGCTCTCTCTCTCTCTCTCTCTCTCTCTCTCTCTCTCTCTCTCTCTTGCATACTTGATTCACTTCGTATGTACTCCCTCCGTTCTGAATTACTTGTCGCAGGTATGGATGTATTTAGATGTATTTTAGTTCTAGATACATCCATTTCTGCGACGAGTAATTTGGAACGGAGGGAGTACGTAGGATAGATGGATACGTTTGGTGTGTAGATTGATGGAGGTCAACTTGTCTAATGAGCTAGATACATTCTGTTGGAAAATTTCAAGTTCAGGCCTTTTTTCGGTTAAATCTACGTACGTCGGCTTCATCAATATTGGACTAGTCTCTAGGTCGTTACATATCTAGAAAATTAAAATGTCTTTGAAAATGAAAGTCTTTATGTGGTTCATGCATAAGGGAGTGCTTTTGACTGAAGACAACTTGATGAAACGTAGGTGGGAGGGTAGTAAACGATTTGTATCAGGAGGAAATGATTCAATATTTGTTTCACAAATGTCCGTTAGCCATGTTATTGTGGCACATAATACATGTGTCCTTTAATGTATTTTCACCTAGTACCATTTCCAATTTGTTTGCAACTGGTAACTGAGATTTAGCGTAATACAACGATAAAAGATCACATTGGAGCGTGTGTGCATTACTTTGGGATATTTGGAATTGTCGAAATGGCGTAGTTTTTAGCCGAACCAATATCTGCATTGATCCGTATGTGGCGGAGCTAGACACAATCGGTTGGGGGGCGAAAGGTAAAATATTTGTGTTTGGAGGGGCCAAAGGCTAAAAAAGTTTATTTCCTTTAGGGGGGAGTACGTCTCTATTGGAGCGGTGTGAAGGCACAACGCTCCTCAAGAAGCCACTAGGGCTACCGTATTCTCCTCACTCCCTCGTAGAATGCAAGAAATCGGAAGTACCGGGCGAGCCGTACTACCATTGTACATCCACGATACTACTGCTTATATCTTCAAAGTTACAACGAGTGGTGTGGTAGTGGGGTAGTAGTATCGCCCAACTACTGTTGAAGCGAAAATCATCACAGAACCCCAAAACAAGCGGCGGTACCGCTTCAGTACTGAACATGCAGCAGTACCGCTGAAGTGATACTACCGCTCTCCAACGTTGTACTATCGTTTGGTTGCTTCAACTAAGCCAAGCAAAGAAGGAAAGATCTCTAAGTTGTCAGAAGGATAGGTAGGTGCAAAGGTAATGTGTACGTGTTGATTTCATCCTTCTTAGTAATATGATTTTCCTACGACTCAAATCCACACAAAAATAGAACGTTTGAAACAACCATCATCAAACACCAAAACCACCCAGAAAGAAATATGGCATAATAGTATGGCTTTTAGGTGCAACTGTCTGGAGACGATAACACGGGATACATATAACCGATTTGGATAACGGTCCAATAATAGAATAGATATTTAGGCTTCTTGTCCTATTTTTGCCGGCCATGGATTTTAATTTTATGTTTCGTTTTTGCTTCCGTATCTAAGATGAATTTCATACATTCTATCAATGGATTGTGTGCATCGCTTGATACAGAGGCCGGATAATCCTCCGTTCAAAGAAAAGCTTACGTATATAGTACATAAATCATCATCTTTTCCTTTTTGCGAAATGTTATGCAGCATCATCTGGAAGGCTAACTAACTACACATTTTCACGCTAAAAATATCCAAGCTAAGCACTGAAGGAGAAGGGACGGCAAAATGCCATGCACCATTCGTGCAAGATGACAGGCCGCAGACGAAGGGCAGTAGCACAGCGGACGCACGGCAGAAATTGAGATCCAGCTGAAATCACTCTCACTCACCCTCCGGTGCCTCCACGCGAACTCCGCTCGCTTCCACTCACCCGCCCCCATATATACCAGCAGGGAGCACTCCGCCTCCATCACTAGTCAGCTGCCTCCGGAGTTCACCTCACCCACCCACCCACCTCGCCTCACCTCTCCCGCCCAACTCCCTCCATTCCTTCCCATGGCTCTCGTCCGGCAGCGCCGCCAGCTACCCCACCTCACCCTCCCGCTCGACCACTTCGCCCTGCGCACCCCGCCGCCGCCGCCGCCCCCCGCCGTCGCGCCGTGCGCCCCCGCCGAGGGCCTCGCCCGCCTCTCCGACTACGAGCGGATCTCCCAGCTCGGCCAGGGCAACGGCGGCACCGTCTTCAAGGCGCGCCACCGCCGCACCGCGCAGCACTTCGCGCTCAAGCTCTTCGCCGCCGGGGACGGGGACCCCTCCGCGGCCCGCGAGGCCGAGATCCTCATGCTCGCCTCGGGCGCGCCGCACGTGGTGCGCCTCCACGCCGTCATCCCGTCGCCCGCCGCGGAGCAGCCGGCCGCGCTGGCGCTGGAGCTCGTGTCGGGGGGCTCCCTCGCGGGCCTCCTCCGCGCGCTGGGCCGGCCCATGGGGGAGCGCCCCATCGCCGCCGTGGCGCGGCAGGCGCTGCTGGGGCTGGCGGCCCTGCACGCGCTCCGCGTCGTGCACCGCGACCTCAAGCCGGCCAACCTGCTGGTCGGCGCGGGCGGCGAGGTGAAGATCGCCGACTTCGGCGCCGGCAAGGTGCTGCGGCGGCGGCTCGACCCCTGCGCGTCCTACGTCGGCACGGCCGCCTACATGTCCCCGGAGCGGTTCGACCCGGAGGCCTACTCCGGGGACTACGACCCGTACGCGGCGGACGTGTGGAGCCTCGGGATGGCGATCCTGGAGCTGTACCTGGGCCACTTCCCGCTCCTCCCGGCGGGGCAGCGCCCGGACTGGGCCGCGCTCATGTGCGCCATCTGCTTCGGCGAGGCGCCCGAGGCCCCCGCCGCGGCGTCGGACGAGTTCCGCGACTTCGTGGCCCGCTGCCTGGAGAAGAAGGCCGGGCGGCGCGCGTCCGTGGCGGAGCTGCTCCAGCACCCGTTCATCGCGGAGCGCGACGCGGAGGAGGCGCAGCGCTGCCTCGCCGCGCTCGTGGCGGAGGCGGCGGAGCTGGGCGACCAGTAGCCTAGCCAAACCGCCCGCCGGTTAATTAGTAGTCGGAGAGTTAGGAGTCCATCCATCCAAGCTGATGTGTACATAATCCGCGCCACGGGGAGGAATAAACCTGTCCCATGTGGCGTTTTTCTTTTCACCTTTTTGCCGTACCCAATGATTATTCCTTCGTTGTTTCACGTGAATTTGCAAGGGACAGTTTTGATAATTGATGGCACCTTCTTCATCAGAATCAGAAGCATGGCATATGGCGTCAGTGGAATGTTCTGATCGATCTGTCATGTTTTAAGGAAATTTCTCGAGCTATAAACCTGTGAAAGGCTCAGTTCCTATCGGGAACAGCACAGCGAACAGACTCACGAGAAACATGCATTACACGGACAATGCTTGGGTGCCGTAAGGCAACTACTTTTGTATCTATGACATGTGGGCTCAATAGATGGCTGGCCCATATGTCAGTGTCTCAAAGGCAGGTGCCTTTAGAAGCTGCGTCCGCATTGCGCAAGAGGAGATTGAGGGAGTTGCTGTTTGATTAAACTGCAGAAAAACGATGGAGCTCTTTTTTTCCAGGGGAGATTGCAAATTCAGAACTGCCACAGGCGACTGGTTTGGTATCCAAATTCCAATCGCTTCTCCTGCTCCTGGTTTGGTGCCATCTCTTGTACGGGGTATCTGATTTGCCATTCTTAATGACGGTACCTGATGTGGCAGGAAGGCCATTTACTAATTTCTAATCTTGATGAGCGATGATCACTGATGACATGGGCTAAGCATACGTAAGAGGGTACCAGTGGGATGAATGGCTTAAACAAAGGCCAATGCTGGGATTTCTGGATTCTTGTGGTGCTCCAAGTCTCGCGAATATGCCAATCCTTGTGGTACTATTGTACAGTATGATATAGAGAACTGTTGAGATGGCCCGAAATCAGTGCGCTAGCCGATCACAGATTAGTTATCAATCAGTGGCCCGAAATCAGTATGCTAAAAGCATTGGTTGCGCTGATAACGTACTCCTAACCATCGATAGGGTTTTCAATTAGATCGACAGCGCACTGTTCTGCACGGAGTAGTTGCATTTCCGTTAGGCAGCGCGTGCAATGGGTGCCACCGCCTCAACGGATCGCCGGCACATTCAAAATGTGCAAATGGCGCGTTCGTTGCCGCTCGGCTCAAGTACGTACTCCTTGATTTTCTTGTATATATAGTGTACTAGCAGCACACGCGCACGGCCAGATAGATTCCGATTCCAATTCCAATTCCGATTCCAATTCCAATTCCAATTCGAAGCACGGCCGCTCTTATCCCAGACGATGTGGAACCGGCAGGCCTGCCTGTATCCATCCATCTTCCAACAGCTTCCACCGCTCACGGTCACGGTGAGGCTCATGGCTGTCATTCTCAATCTGGACGCGGCCGCGGACGAGCAGGAAGGAGGCCCTGGGCACGTAGTCCCCGCTGTAGGATCTCTCTGAACCAGACGCCACCGCCTGCCGGTCGCCGTTTTGTCAACGTGGATGGATATGCGTACGGGGAGCAGAGCAGTACAGACAAGGCAGACCGGTCGCATCAGTTCAGCAGCAAGGATTTTTATTTCCGATGGCCGGACGGAATCATCGGAGATGGTTCGCAGATGAAACGGAATCGCGTGCGGTGCGGTGCGGTGCGCCAGCTGGGATCGGAGGATCTTGCGTGTTGCCCGCCGCGCCGATGGAGAGCCATGGAGGGAGCAAGCGGCGCTGCGTTGCCAGGAAGCGGTAAGCTGACGAGATTAGTAGATTGGTGATGTCAGGTGTGGTGTCGCAGGTGTTTCCGTTCCCGTAAAGTCACGCATGCACCAGGCAGTCCTGGGACAGTGGGACGAGACGAGATGGGCACGTCCCGTGTGGACGAGGTCAGCGCCAAGCGCCAATCGCCAATCGCACTGTTGAGATGGCCCGAAATCAGTGCGCTAGCCGATCACAGACTAGTTATCAATCAGTGGCGCAAATTAAACAACACGGGACAGAACAAGGAGGTGTACAAAACCCAGCAGTCGTCAGCTAAAAGTATTGGTTGTGCTGATAACGTAGTCCTAACGATCGATAACTTACAGCGAACTAACAAAATCATACATAAATTAAAAAACCCTAGAAAAATGATACACTATAACTTATCTAACAGCACGTTTTGATACATTTTTTCGTTCATCATAACGGTGCACTGTCGTCGCTGTTAACTGTGTCTACGTGACCGTTTTGCTCTCCCTCTACCCTGTGTGGGTCCCAATCGTCAGTGGGACAGCGACAGCGAAATAAAATCAAAGAAAAATACAACTAGTCTGCGGGTTTCGAAACGGAGACCGACCAACCTACCACACCATTCTACCGCCCACGTTAAAAAAGAGGCAGACTGGTACTCGCTTTTTTTTGACTGTTTTCGTTTTTTTATTTGTTCTTTTTTGCTTGTTTTTTTCTTTTATCTTTTTTCAGAACTTGGGTATTCTTCGGGTTTTTCACTTTTTATTTTACATATCTCTTTTTTATGTACCCTTTGCAATATAAGGTGAACTTTTCTTCAATATGGTCGACTTTTTTTCAATACTAGCACAATGCCCGTGCGTTGCAACGGGAGAAACATATTCATAGTTTCACAGCGGGAGGGACAATTGTCTCGCTGTAAGCGGACACCCGCACAACCCCCTCCTATCAGCACCCGCAATCAGCGACTTAATCCCCTCTATCATCACAAAGCCTCTTGAATCACAACATAGAAGTTAAGCCACGTCATCACGTTTTCGCACCTCGTCCAAATCCACCAACCATGGCGCCGCGGATTCACACTGCTTTGGACTGGCCTCCAAAGCAGCTCTAGTCAGGAAATTTTGTTGTTTTGAGGCTAAATTATTTGATTTCTTTCGTAGCCTACACATCATCATTATAGTATTTAATGGAATTTTACATATTTGTGGAGAACAACTATACCGGAGGAAAGAATCAATTTTCTTGGAATTTTTAAATATCCTTTTCAAATAAAATAAAGTTCTAGGCTCCATAGATCCATGGAGCCAAATTGCCTCATTTATTGATTGATCTGGTATTACACATTTGAGGGTGTTTATCAGACCAAATATTTTCCCTTTATTCATGCAAAATAACTCTTATCAGACTACACATGTACATCACATATCTTTATCTCTGGTTAACGAAAAACATACTGAATATGACACCATCAAATCTATCAGTCTGATAATATTTTCATGAGAGAAACTATTAAGTCACTTCTCACATGTATTTCATTGAGTTCCTCGCTGGAAACAAAATACTACAATACTCGCAAATTGGGTCAACTCTTAGAGAACAAAGCACGATCTCTTTCATAAGAGTAGAGCGCAAACAAAGCATTTATTATTTCAAACAATGAAAGCCAGTCACCTCCATTAATAAAAAGGCAGATGATCTCACAAGAAGATTTTATACTAAATAACAGATAGAGAAAAGGAAGTAAAGTCTGGTTTCAAAGTCGAAGTAGCGCTTAACAAGACCAGCTTGAGACTGGGCAAGATATGTTTAATTATGCATGACTCCATAGTCATTATACATCACAATATCGATGAATGAAATAAACGGCGGCTAGAAAAACAGAGGCCAAATGCTTGCTCTGGAAGCAAAAGATATGCTTCAGAAGAAACGCAAATCACAAGAAATCTGCTCCATGCTAGTAGTAGGTGGAGCTAATGTTGCTGAGGATGAGCAGCATGTAGCCGGGGGTAGTGGTGGCAGGGGCTGTTGCAACAGGAAATGGAGGAGGCATGAGGGGCTCTGTTGGGGCACGGACGCCGCCGGAGGCAAAGTTGCGATGCGTAGGTCGTTGGAGGAGTCGTGGGAGGGGACGAAGGGGACGACGAGGATGAGGGTGTGTGGTGTTGTTGATGGGTGGTCGGACTACTGCAACAAAGGAGAAGCAGGAGACGTGGCGGCCAATTGACGATGTCGGTGTCGTACTTGTCGTGGTCGGGCAGAGGAAGGAAAGGAGTGGGGGAGACAGCAAGGAGGGGAGAGTCGTGGTAGTGGTGGGCGACAAGGTGGAGAGGAGCGTGGGCCGGACAGCGCAGACAACAGCCGTTGCGGTAGATCGGTTCTGACACTGTCGACTGTTGCCTGTTTGTATGGAGTTCTTTTTCCTAAGATGTGGCTAGTCGGGAGAGACAGGGGGTATCTAAAAATATCTACCTCAGTGCGGGCGCCTTTCTGCAAAATTGCCACAAATTGCCTCCAGTCCGTTAGATACAAATCCAATGGTTGTAAATCAAAAATGAAGACATCATCACCACCAACTCAGATTTTTATAGGATTAGAGAGATGTGGCTAGTCGGGAGAGACATGGGGTTATCCTAAAATATCTACGTCAGTGCGGGCGCCTTTCTGCAAAATTGCCTCCTGTCCGTTAGATGCAGATCCGATGGTTGTAAATCAAGAATGGCAGACACACCATCACCACCAACTCAGATTTTTATAGGAGTAGAGATACAGTGCACATTTTTTTCAAATACACACCGGACTTTTTAATATGTGATCAATTTTTGTAAATACACACTAATCATTATTGTATAAATGCACACAGAACATTCTAAATATATGATGAATAATTAGTTATACACATTGGCCATTTTTATGTCACATTGCCCGCATTTAAAGCGCACGCGCTGGCGGCCCCACTTGGCAGCCACCCGGCCGAGCGGGTCGTCGTCCTTTTTAATGTGGAAGCCGTCGACCGGCGAGTTCACACTTTCACTCCCGATGACGCTTGCGTCCTCGGAACCTCACACACTCAGCAAGCCAGAGTTTCGGCCGCCTTCTCTCTTTCACCTCGCCGCCGGCACCATGGGCTGGCATTGGATATTTGGATCCCCGATCACAAGGGAAAGCACGAGCACGTACGAGGCCGGCTCGTCTTCCGGCCGCCGCAGCCGCTCCACCCCTCCGCAGAGCCCGTTGCGGGCGCGCTCAGCCAGCCGTGCGCGCGCTCTCAGCCAG